GTGTCAGATTTCTCCAAAGGCCATTGAATTACGTGCCTACATTGAGTGGGGAAAGTGTGTACACGGGTAAATGGTGTATGACTATCTAGCTGTGTAATTTACCACCTTTTCACATGCCTGAAGCAGCCTTGGTGCATCAAGGTATTTTTCTCTCTTAAACATCCATGTCTGTTAAAATTGAAGTACGTCCACATATCTTTAAAATGCATGGCTGCTTCTGACTCTCTGGGTTTCTTCTGTGTTTTCATTTTTTATTTTTTTAAGATATGAGGCTGAGCTGAGATCAGTCACTCTGGGCAGTTATTCTTTTCCTTTTCTCTTCTGAATCCTGTGTAGCAGAAGGGATAGAATTTTAATTCAGCTTTGCTTGATTTGTCTGTCTCTACCTCAAGTGAAACACTAACCAAGACTGCACAAGAATTTGTAAGACTCATTAAAACATGCATTAAAGCTTCATGGAGTAAATATTTCCTTTGCGTTACTATATTTGATGTGACTAATGTGATCAGTTTCACCGTTCAGCTAAAGAGGACATGGGCCAGGACATTCATGTGATTATAATAGTCAGCAAAATGACACAAAGTTATAGAAAATCCATCTCTAGAGCTTCTTTATTTAATTTAAAAGTATATGTTACTTGAAGCTGCTGACTTAACATATTGATTATTAGATGGATTGTTTTACTTAGAGTCTGAGTACATTTAGTAAACATGCTGATTAATGCTTGCAATTTTTGTTCTTGTCTTATAGTGTAAGGTAGTTATGACAACCTGATATTAGTTGGTTAATCAGTCAGGTTATTTGCACAGGTTGGCAGGTTAGCAGACATACTGATAGTAGCTTACAAATTGTAGTTTAAATTAATCTTAATATGTAGGACGTCTTTAATTTTTGGCTCATCCAAGAGCCTTTGTATAGCTAACATGTAAAATAAAAATTTCTGGGCAAACTGGGCTCGTATTTTGTGATAAAGTGAGCGATGTATTTCAGTACCAGCCTACAATTGCCTTTAAACTGTTTGGGAAGTAAAACAACATCTATGTATTGTATATTGCACTTGTTTACAATGGAAATTACAACAGAAAGTATTTAAGTCTAAACTAAGTGCAGATGTTGTTGACATCTGCTGTTGATATTAAAAAAAAATACAGTATCTAAATCCAAAGAGAGCTTCAAAAATTATCTGTAATATTTCAGTAGTGACTTGTTTAAAACATAAGGCAGAAAGTACGGCATTCTGATTTAAATACTGAAATTATGCTATGATTAAGATCTTTAGTACTCTTGCTGTTTCAACATCATTAGTTTCTGACCCTCCTGCAACTCCTGAGTTTATGCTGCAGCTGGGATCAGTCCCTATCGTTCTGGTGCTTCTGGACATTGTCTTAATTATGTTGTTTCTCTCTCTCCTTCTAGTCCACGTTTCCATTTCTTACTCTTCTGAAGTGGAACTAAAGTTGGCACCCTTTGTTTATCCATCTTTTACTCACTATAAATATGGACAGTACCTAGAAGCAAAGGCCATTTTTTGAATCTTTTGCTGCTTTTTGCGTTTCTATTATGGCAGTTATAACATTTGATTTTTTTTATGATGGGAATCTCGGTTCTTTAATGGTTTCAAGCTAACAAATATCTCATCCAACGTATCTCTCCTAAAGCGCAGGATGGTTCTTCAGTCTGAAATCACTTATTTTAATTGTGAGTCATTTGATATTAAACTAAGCAGCCCAGAGGAGAACATAATTGTATTGTAGATATACAATATACAAGTAACATAAATATATTATTGTTCGTAGTTATTGTTCTTTGCCTAAGGCGTAAGTACTTAGCAGAGGACATCTCGTGAGACATAGCAGATTCAAAATGCAATAACATTTTCTTTGAAGAGATGAGACAGTCTTGCATTATCCAGTTGTAGTGTCTGAGAATATTATGAGGTCTGGATGTTGAAGGCCCTCCTTTACATTTGACACATCATGTCCAAGTTTGGTATTCTTATTTAAAACTATAAAAGAAACATTTGACTTTTCAGAATAGAAAAAGAGAAAGAAACTTCCATGTAATATAAAGTTTGCAACACAGAAATCAATCTTCCTTTTTTAAAAATAATAAACAGAAACTTATTTGATAAATTTGCATCTATCTTTCAGGGTGCACACCCTGCTTGTAATGACATTCTGCTGTATCACTCACTGCTGGGTATTCATACAAAAGGTGGCACCTTTAAAATGTGAGCCATTTAACTTTGTACAGCCTGATTTTGTGTTTCATTTCATTTAATTGATATTTGTGGTTGGTGAGCCTGCAGGTGTGAAACTTTTTAAAAATTCTTCTCCTGGCATCAGTCCTGCTCTTCTGTCTGCTTCTTAAACTAGCAATACCCCTGCAGCTGCAGCACCGGGAGACGGGGTGAAAGAAGCATAGCATGTTCAAAAAAAGTGATAAACATGCAGCTGATTGAGTTGATAACCTCAGTTCCAGGAGCAGCTGCCTTCGGGAGGGAGACTTTTTGAGACTGCTCAGGTGGAGATACCTACCCTTTTCAGATAGTGCCACGTGCAACATCTCAGCAGCGTAGAAAAATTATTTTTTTCTCTGAAAGAACTCCAAAAATGGCCTGCAGAAAACCACATGTGGTTTTTTGATAAAGCATTGCAACTAAGTCTTATGTGCGAACTTGTAAAAATAAAAAGAGAAAAGTTTAACGAAGAATTCAGAATTTCTTTTACATATGTATAATACTCTTTATTTACTGTGAAACGTTAAATTATTTTCTTCCATATCAAAACTGAAAATTCAGGAATATGGAAATCTTTATACAAGATCTTTATACAGAAAACTTGCTAAGCCCTGTGCTAGGGCAGTCAGTCATCCAGCGGCCAGTCGTGTTTTTGAGGAAAAAAATATTTAAAGTTGACAGGAAATTTAAAAATGTCACTTAATAATTATGTGTTTTTAAAAGATTGGAAGATGAATACCTGAATACAAACTATAAAGTCTTAAAAAATGCAAATGTTTTAAAAAGACTGAAATAAACAAGCATTACTTAGGAGCAGAGTAAAGCCTGGTGGCCCACCAGGCTTATAATACTCTGGGACAAATCCTGCTTGATGTCAGTGAAATGAAGATCGCAATGATGCTTTTTGAATTCAGTGTTACTATTGTGTTCTTAGTTCAGCAGCATATGTGGGCCTTCATTTCCTGGCGTTTTGCAGGTTACAAAAATATATCAGCTTCACTTTTCAGTCTGTCTTTACAGCTTGTCATATTCAAAAGTAAAGATCTAACCTTCGCAGTGGAAATATTTTGTCAGCTCCTTGTTTACTAAGTTGGAAGCTGAAACAAAAACAGAATTAATTTTTTGCAACAGCATCACACGTGAAGTGAAAGACGCCTCCAGAAAATGACAGGCGACATTGAAAACATGCACATTGTGTGATGAAACAACAAAGATACTGCAAAGCAAACACTCTGCTATTAAATAAAACCAGCTTTTAACTCTCAGACTTCAGACTAGTAGGTGAAGCCACACAGGTTAAAAAGAAGCTATTCATATAATAACAATGTGCAGTACTGCTATAATTCTTACAACTTCATCTGTATTTATAATTATGTGATTCACAATTAAAACAAAGTGTTATAATTATGTTTTGATGCTTTTATTTACATTCTTCTCAGCTGCAGAGCTAAGAAGAGCTAAATACTGACACAATTTTTTTTTAGACTCAAAACAACACATAGTCAGATGCAATCATTATTCAAAACAAAACAATAAAAAAAAACCTTTAAATCTAGCATCAGTAATTCAATAAATTCTGGTATGCTTTACATTGATATTAGCTTATTCATTTTAATAGCAAACGGATAGATTAGAAATATTTTGTGATGTATACATATAACATTAATACCCACAATTACTTTTGAAGCAAGGATGTGATGGTGTCATATAACTTAAAATATAAATCATCACTCTTTCAGTGTAAGTAAATGACTAATATTTGTATGTGCAAATACTGGATACTTTGTATCAAACGGAAACTAGATTTTTGTCTTTGCTTAAATTTTTACAAATGTATTAGCAAGACACTGATAGAGTTTCCTGGTCATACACAAATTTACTTTATATTAACTATTTGTCCACAGCTGAAATTGGTTTGTTTTCACCTCATTGCTCCATCCTCAATAGTAGCTTCCATTCATTATGTTTGTTGGCCATCTGCAAGCTGTGAAATGCACCTGCAGAAACAAGCTAATTTGAACAACAGAATGGAAAAGAAAATGCCCTTAAAAGCTTTAAGTAATAAGTTCTGGGTCAATGGGATCTGGGGATCTCAGGGCCATGAACAGTCAGGTCAGTTGGAAAGCAGACTGCAGAGCTGCTCAAAGTACTTGGGAGTGGATGGAACCTAAAGGCAAAGAATGTTAATAGAATCAGTTTCTTGTGGGTGAGCTCGATGAACAGCCTTGGCTACAGGGCTGACAGTTAATCACGGAATAGCAAAGAGCAAAACCCCCAGAGCTTCAACTCTTGTCTTTGATATCAGAATGTGTTTTAAGGAATAAATAAGAGACTCTTCCTTATGCTGTTTCAGAAAAGATTCATAAACGACACCCAGAGCTTCATTAAAATGATGTTCAAATGACATGATTTGTCTCCTGTATTGCTGCAGTAAATTTGAAACCTGAAAACAAAATATTAATACTTTTTTTCGTGTGCAAACTCTGTGTGTGCATTGCACTAGACTAAAGCGTTAGATTGGATGAGAAAACAGGATGAATTGCAAATAGTCATAGTTTTATTCCAGTTTTTGCTGATGGTGTACAAAATAAAAAACCCTGAACTCAAGGGTCATGAGCATCTACAATCCATTTTTCTTCTTTTTTTTTTCAACATTTGTGGCTTTGCAGCTATCCTGAAGCAAGTTTAAATCAACAATTTTACTGGTCTCTGGTCAGATGTTTAAATCTGTTTTATTTTTCTCTGTTTTTGTTCTCATCAGAGTCTTTACAGCTGCCCATGCTGGTTGGACCATACCCAGTTGGTACTTGAGTGAGTGGGCGCTTGACAGAGTTGGCACCTTGAAGGTGCTTGCTGCTGCAGGAGGGGTGACATAGCCCCAGCCTACCACACATTCATTTGTACCAGATTAAGCTATTGCATGATGCTGCAAGCAGAAGGCCTGGCACAGGCGATTTACCATCCCTGCCAGACTTAACATCTTCAGACGCCTCCTCTCTGCTCGGCTAACATCTTCTCGGGAAGGTCTGCCCAGAGTCATCTGCAACTCTACTAACAATATCACCCAAAGGGATGACTGGAGGTCACCTTGCACAGGTGGGTTTCATACATCATGCATTATTCCAAAATAGGGCTGGTGTCTATCTCCAGCATTGGACAAGAGGCATTATGCACAGTGAAAATCTGAAATGTGATGCATTAAACATTTTCATTTGGACTTACAGTGTTTTAAAAGGTCAGAATACATTTGTGTTTTTCTGATCCCATCGATATGCTGATCTCATCTTTTTTTAAAATGAAAGCCAAGAAGGAAAAAGAACTCTTAATAAACAGTAGCTTTTTTTGAATCATACTAAATTTAAGTTCACAATCTAGAAACCCATTGAATCTTTCTTCTTTTTTTGGCTTTTATTTTAGTCTACATTATGAATATAGTTGCTTAGGGATAAAACAGAGATGGACAATATTTGTAAATAGCAGGATTTACAAAAGAAACTCGATGACCCAGCGATCAGTTCAAACTTTGATTTAACAGTAGATGATATTTGTACTTTGTTTATCAAATTTTTCTTTAACCTTGAATATCTTGGGTTTCAAACATGCTGCTGAGACAGAGAGAACAATACAATATATAATTTATATAATAAGATATAATTGGAACATAAAAAATGAACACAAAAGCCATAAACTTCAAAATCATAGAATTCAAAACAAAACCGGAGACATCGTAGTTGTTTCTGTGCTTTCTGGTTATTCCTTTCAGTGAATGCATCTGTGAAGGAGAAATGAGGGATAGAGTAGCATGGGTTTCTGTGTTTTTATTGCGAGCAATCAAAGGCAATTACATGCACAACAATGTGGAAAAAATACTTACAGCCTTGTAAACTAGACTGTATTGAATGCAGACCACAAAGACAAGATAGGAACAGAAATGTGAATTCCAACAGAGAAGACAGATAAAGGGCTGGTTGGCTAAATAATTTTGTGGAAAACCAGTCATGAAGGTTGCTGTAGTCAAATGTGCTTGTTTCCACTTGAATACAGCAGAGTGTTTGGCTTATTTAAAGAGAGGCTGGGGGATCACATGTTGATTCTTTAGAGCCTTGGCAAACCCAAATTAGCTTTTTTCTTTTATTTGGAAACATCTCATCAAGTCTTAATTGTTATGACCACCTGTGAAACGGAGGGTTGTGGAGTTCTGCGCATCTGTTCCCTTATGATAACTGCAGGATTTTCGCTGACTGAGTCCAGTGAGTGGGCACTGAACCAGGCCCACAGGAGACAGGGCGACAGATTGCACTCCATCAGATCATGTAGCTTCCAACGTGATGCACAGCATCATATTAGCCAGGCTGATGATCCCCAGGTTTTTTTCCATTCAACGAGAGCCTGGCATGGTGCCTTTGACCTAGATATTTATCTGCTGTAAGAGCTGGTCTTTTCCAAAAAAGAAATATAATCTACTTTGTCTGGTGTTTCTCTGTCTTGTGCCTTGGACATTATTTGTACACCTGGAACCTCTTTTTTTCACATTTAGAAAAAAAGTTAACTTAAGATCCTTAATGTTAGTTTGATTTGATTCTAGTTTCAAAATTATTTTAGGTTTTTATTTTGATTAGATCAATCTTGTTGGTGTTGTTTTAGTTCAGTATTTTTTTAGTGATTCTAGTTTATTATGTTAATTTATTGTGTATAGTTATTCTTAATTACCTGAGCTTATTTTTAATCTGCTTTACTGTAAGATTAATTTGTTTGTTTCTGTCTCTCTCCCACTCCTCAGTCTGCCTTCTGTTCTTTCCACTCACACCGACAATCAGTTAGCCAGTCAGCCCATTGTTTCTGTATTCAACCTCTTAGCCCTTAAGAGCCTCTTTCTCAATCACTCCTTGCTCTTTCCTCCCATCAATTCCTTTCTATCATATTTTCCCTGGATTCATGTTTTTGTTTTGTTTCTGGTTTCATGTGTTTCCTGTGGTTTTTGTCATTTTTTAAAATAATTTTTTCATTAAATAATTCTTTACCAACAAGCTGCCTCTCTGCATTTAGGTTGTTCATTAACTAGCCTACGACATGACACGTAAAACTCTTTTAGGAGGGATTTTAGTATAAAGTAAGATAGAAAGTGGTCTGCAATTTAGAAATGGAAAGCAGAAAAACAAGCTTTCAATTTCTTTGACAAATGAAGTGAAGTGTGTAATTGCAGTCACCCTCCTTCAATCTGATACCCCCAAAGTAAAACTCTGAGCAAGCAAGAAAGCATTAAATTGAGGAACAGCCAAGTGATTCTTTACAACTCTGAAGAAACTGAGGAGATTCACAGTGCATGCAGAAGAATCTATTGATACGAGAACTGTTAGTGATGGATTATAAGGATGTAAAATTAATCAAAAAAAGGCTAAAAGGGAGCTATTGTTTAAATAATCTTCTGATAAATCCCACAAGCAGTTTACAATAAAGCCAGTTAGGGACACTGCAAACATCCAAAAGGAGATTCTCTGTCCAAATCAGAGGAAAATGAAGCATTCGATTCTGTATGCACAATGTAATATACGCGGCAGAAAACCAATACTGAAGATCCCCATTGACACACCATTTCTGCCGTGAAACATGGTAACAGCATTATTCTATGGGGATGCTTTTCTTCAGCAGGGACAAGGAAGCTGGTTAGAGTTGATGGGAAGATGGATGGAGCTGAAAAAGGCTGTCCTGGAGAAAAACCCAATAGAAAATATAAAAGATTTGAGATGGGGGAGAATGATTACATTCCTACAAGAAAATGACCCGAAACATAAACCAGAGCAATGATAGAATATTTTAGATCAAAATTTGTGTTAGAAAAGCCTGTTAAAGACCAGGTTGCAAAACAGTCTGACTGAGCTTGAGGAATTTGTTCAAGTAAATAGGATGCTTTGATTGAATAAATCTGTGCCTGATCTTTACGTGAAAACGTTAGCAGCTAAATTTTGCAAAAACAAATCTGACCCTGGGATCAAATTAAATGTCCGTTTGAAAATGAAGTCTGGCATTCTTCCCAGGACATGCATGTTTTTATAGCCTGTTTCTGTTCCAGATCTTGCTTCCTAATTAATCCTAATGTGCTCTGTTAGCCTTAAAGAGAGAACTGCTTGTCCTGTGAATAGTCAAATTAGACAGACTGGAGGGAGGATGTAATCTAGGAGCAGTCACGTATGCTTTCCAAACAGTGCCGCGAGAGAGAAAGGGTTGTAATCAGCAGCTAGAGGTGTCTAATTGGCATATGGGTGTGCAAGAGTCAGGGTGGGTTGTTCAGTCAAGCGAACAAAGAGTACATTGTGGTGATAAAAATGTGAAAGAAAAGGGCAGTAACAAGAAATAGAAATGACTTCAATGACATGTACTATAGATGAAATCTTTAAAATACAGAGCCGGTGGAACAGTAAAGGCTGGCAGCTTCATATTACTGCTAATACGTTTGTTATATTGCCAAAAGTTGAGATTTGTGTGTACACTGAAATTATTTTAAAAATGACTTTGGAATAAAATGCCAAAGCTCGAACAAAATTGGACAGTCCATAAATAACTCTGCATCTGTCCCCACGTCCAGGCACCAAGCCATCTTTTTCTCTACATATTTTTTCATTAAACAAAATTCAGCACCATGAAAACACAGAAAAATTACCAAAGCCAAAAATGTAATATCTCCGAACAAGATCAAGCAACAGTAGTTCAAAGCTTTGGACTACCACAGAAACATGTAAAAAAAAAAAAATATTAAATGCAGAATTATTTTTTTGGTAGTTAATCCACCATTAGATCCTTTTCCTAATTTCTAATCACAAAGGAAAAGCTTAGTAAACTCATTATTGTGTAGATGAAAGTAGCTGGAAAAACAATGAATTGCAAGTGAAACATGCAAATGTTTTGGGACTTTATAATCTTAAATCTTTCTATAAGTCTATCCATCTGGCTGTTCATGATATGCCTGGTTGATTTATTTGTGTTGTCCGTTTAGCAGAAGAAGCTTGCATATTCCCTTACATGCATGCTGTATGTAGTAAACTGAAATTGGAAATAAGCTGTTTCCGCTGGGTGAAAAAATGTGCCTCATCTGGATGGTGGCACTGCATATTATGTTTCTGAACTAAAAGTTCTTGGTTTTATTTCCATACCGCAGATAGTCTTAGTGACATTCTCGTCTTTTCCCTTATGATCAGTCCCTTCCCACCTCTGGTTATCTGGCCCAGGTTTCTGGATATATTTCTTATTAAGATAGTGATGAATTTCATTTTATCCTCACAGGAGTAAGAGAGGCAGCAATGGGCTGGACTATGACTCTGAAAGATGACTTTGGGGTCAGCGCCTGGACACGGCACACTGGAAACTTCCTCAGCCTTTTCCTTTTCATCTCGTCTCTCTTTTCCATTCCAGCCCACTCGGACATTGTACTTTCCAAAGCCAATCCTTTTTCATGGAAAGCAGGTAAAATATTTTATGATTGGCCATTGCCACTGCTGTTTTAACATTATGATAACTTTCTTCTGCAAAGAAAAAATTGGGTCAGTCAATTAAAAGTATTAAGATTTAGAAAGTGAAAAGTGTTGTATTTATTTTACAATGGTGTTTTTCCACATTTTCTCAAATAAAACATAGAATAGGATGTATTTCATCGGAAATACACAAAGAATTTTAAATAAGTTCTAAATTTAGTCTCTCCTCACCTCAAAAACTCAATTGAACATGCATTTGCAAGGTCTTTCCAGTGGGGTCTTTCCACACAAAGACCCCACTTGCTGCGCGATTGACACTTTCATTTCTCACTCTGTGGTTGGGTAATGACGCTGCACGTGTGATGAAGAGATTGATTAAGGTCACTTGAAAGCGCTTATGTTCAAAAAGAGATGTAACCGGGACACCAAGCATTAGGATTTGACATCCTCGCAGAGCTAAGATGGCTTATGAGTTGTTTCTTGACTGGAAAAAGGAAATCAATTCAGAATCAAGAAAGAAAAAGGTTGGTATCCAACTTGTGTCTGTTTGCCCGCAGGGAATCGGTGAGAATAGAACAAATGGTTCTGAAATGTCTTGAAGTTAAACCCTAAAACAAACTTCAGTCATATGTGGGTAGCTGGTGTGTGGTGTTGCAATAGGATGCAATGTTAGTGTCTCCTCGCCTCAAAAACTCAATTATTACACAACTTTTGTGGAATAAAATCCCACAAAAGTTGCTCAAATTGACAAGTTTTTTTAAATTTTTTATTATGAAGCATTTACTTTAGCTTCAGATTTTCTTAAAAAGGAAACGACTTTGCACCAGTTCTAGATTTTATATGATGTAAGCAATTAATTGAACTTCAAAATTATCTTGATTAAAAAAAGTGAAATGAGTTATGCACTTTCTTTATTTTTTGAAATAATAAAATGTTTTTGTTGCAAAAAAACAAAGTGACATTCTGATCAAGATTTTTCTCCCGAATACAGATGTAACCCATTTAAGACTATATACTCCTAACTCAATGGCTGCATTAGGACAAATGTAAACACTACAAACTATGACTTGGTTTTAGCGAGTCATCAGTCGACTTGCTGGTTCTGGGTAATTGTACTGCTCTTACCATCAACTCAAGGTATCTACGGCGTAAGAAATCAAAGCAGTCCATATTACCATGTTATAGTCAACGTAATGTTATTTTTGTCTTCTCTGTTCATAGAACACTTCCAATCAGTTCACAATATTTGTAATGAAAGATAACAGTGACATTGGATGACGCCTCACAGGTGATAGTGGCACACTTTCTTATCCTCCTTGGGGAGCCCTTTTTGATTATGCAGTGTCGAGAAGGAACAATGTACTGAGGCTCTGGCAACAAGAACACAATTTGTACATATTTTGTTGAAACGAAATTATGTAACTCCTCGAAGCAAAGCTGCAAAGACAAGAAAAAAAGTAGGCAAAAGCTAATTTATTTCCAAAGACAACATTGAAATCCAATATTGCCATGACAACTCATTGACACTCAGCACATTTGAATTCTAAATTTGGCTCTTAAGCAGCCTTTTTTTTTGATATGCAATAACCGAAAGTTTGATCTGCTCTAAATTAGCACAGCCACACTATTGTGTTTGGTGTGCCTATCTAGGCCAGCAGCATTGTTGGCATACCCTTTTATGTGAGCCAGTTCCCAGAGCTGTAGCTAAGCTCCGGCTCAAACAGGGAGCAGCAGCCATTTATGCTTGACCTTCATCGGTGCCTTTAAGAACACAATAGTGCACTGAAACAGTGTGCCTAATGGACCTATTATTTAACTCTTTAAGATAATTACTCACAGATATTCTCTTGCAAATAGCCTCACTAACCTATTTTCAGTGCTGAGTAACACATTTACCACAAGATGACAGTGCGGAAAGTATTTCAAGATGGACACAGAAACACCAAGGTTGCCTGTTAAGGAATATGCACTGCTTTACAAAGGATAACAGTTTTCTATTGATTTAGGATTTAACGTTACTGCTGAGAGGACATTATGAGGGCTATCGCTTGGAAACTTAAAAGCTGCACTTCACACCAGTGGTGTCACCTACACAGCACAGGGTTATCTATGCTCACCTGCATGTTGTGTGATTTTTTTAAATTTTTTGCAGTTTTCTGGATGTTTGTACCAGATTAGAGGAGCATAGAAACTGAATGCTGCTTCTCCATGTTTGGATCTGGCCTTAGGGACTCAAAGTATTCCTAAAATACTGAGAGTTCTAGTGACAGCAGACATCAGTGACATCATGTCTTCATTGTATTCTGGTGCAAAGCCAACCAGTTGGTTTGGATAAAAGTGTCTACCAAATGTATTGGCATATATACAACTTCCAAAAACAGTATTAGTTTCTTGTGAATAACAATAGTTTGGTCTCTAGATTTTTCCAGAGAGGATGTATATTTGATGGTTCATATGGGGGCTTGTAGGCATAAACTGTCTTGTCAGTGGTAGAGGTTGGGAGCAAATGTCCAGAAATCACTCTCTTACCAGTCAGTAAGAGAGTGTACTCCACATGCAAATTTGTGTTGAATTTGCATGAAGAGTTTGACAAAAAAGCCAAAGGCAAGGCCGTGTTGTTCTTTAGATGTCAATAGAATTAATTGACATTGCTTAGCTTTCTCTCCTCACCTCTAAATCCAGAAAAGTCACAACTGCAGACACAATAGGATATCTCAAAGGGAGCCATGTTTATAGTCTTATGGATTTCACTTATCAGAACTTGGCCATATTTGTATTCCAAAGTTCAGTTTAGAGAGCAGGAAAATAATTGCTTTTATACCTATGTTTCAAGCCTTTTGTCTTCCAAAGAGCTTTATTCATTGTTATTTTTATTTCTTTTTTTGCTGCAAAACAGGAATCCAAATGCTGCAAGCTTCCTTCATGGCTTTTAAAATTCACTGAAAATTGTGTATAAAAGTAAACAATATCATTAAAAGCATGCTTTTTAAATATATAAATAGTTTTACTTTTAGTTTTTCTTTACATGTTGTCTTGTTTGACTATAAAAAATAATCCAAGGTTATTTCTTCTGGCCAGATGTCCTGTGCAGAATAAGTGAATATTTGTGGTATGTAAGAACACTCAGCTGCAAGCTTTAGCTGAGAGGAAATAATTTGCAAAAGATTGAGAAATCAGTACAAGTTTCTTAATTAGGGGCCTCTCAGTGTTTGGATTATTTAGAGATCTTCTGAAAGTTATCTATGCTCAGTACCTTACTTTATATAATTTATAATGCATTCACTAATGAAATCTTCTCTGCTGACTTGAAAAACTGACCTAAATTGTATCAGCTAAGCTAATTTGTTCAGATTACTCGTTTTTAACTAATAGTGAAGTATTGAACGAATAGTTTCTGAGTGGAGTTTGCATGTTCTCACTCTTACGTTCTCACATCTGGAGGTATTAAAGTAAATCTGTCACACGCAAGGTTATTCCCATGTTCAAGTTCATTATTATGATGTGAAAATGATTAAGGCTGTTCTTTAAAAAACAAAATATATAAATTGCACAAAACATTGCAACATTGTAAGATGTTCCAATTCTAACATGTTGAAATGGTGCTATTAATACATCTTTTGATAGTCAGGCAAAACATTCACAATGCGTTTCAGTGCCAGAGTGTATTTATGTGAAATACCGCCTTACTGTTGCGCCATCAAAGCTGAAATCAAATACAAGTGCTGCTTCAGCTTCTCTTCCTCCTGGAATAAGCTTGACGAAAGGCAGTGTGCAAAGATCAAGCCTCGGAGGAATTCAATTTTAACCAAAACCACAGAATAATTTACAGAGGGATTTTCTTTTATTTATGGTGACAAAGAAAAATGACACTAGTCAAATCTGAAGCTGTTAGAGACAGGCAATATTAAATTACGCTCATAAAGTTATTGTTATGTTGCATATATATTTGAGTTAACACTGTTGTAAATATAAGACCTTCTAATAACATTATAGTTTTATAAACTGAATTGAGAGATGTAACTGAGAGCAAGAAATGCATTAATTTGCGTAATATTTCTGATAAATAACATGCTAGAATAAAATATATACAACACACCTCACAGTTTTTCCCATTTATGGTAGAGCTATAACTTCTAGTGCAGTAAGCTTATGAAGTATTTTTTATTTCTCATATCGACCACTGCAGATGGTTGCAACATAAATATTTTTCAACTTTGCTGCTGTTCCAGCTCTTTAAAACATCTTAGTTAGTTCTCTGATATTTTGTCATGTTAGTTTTTCCATTTCATGCCTTGTGAGGATTAAAGAACGGGAAAGCTGCACATGCAGTGTCAGAAAACTATGCCTATTCCTTTAATTGTACAAGATCACTGGCTATTTGGAGAAGGTGGGAAATGAACCTTAGAACAACTGGCTTTATTTGGTGTAAATAGATGTTTAAACAATCTATCAAGTTGTAAACGTAAGTGGCTCTACTACTTGCTTAATTTGATAGGCTTTTTTTTTTTTTTTTGCAGGAATTGGCCAACAATTGTTCATGAGCAGCTGCATGTTGTTAAAAATCGGTTACGTGACCCTGGCTACTTCTGAAGCCTGACTTCAGATTCAGGGTGTCAAAATGCTTGCAGAGCAAATAATAAACCTTCTCTTTGACCTTCAAAAACTGCGTATTCGGCCAAATCTAAAAATCTTTGTCTTAGTTTGACATTGGATTTAAACGTTTATGATTCAGAGTTTTGCTTTCTACACTAAAGTGAACATTTGATACTACTCCTTTAATGAGTTTTGTCATTTGAATTGCCTCAAGTGTAACATTTTTCTCATTATTTCATTCTTCGCTGTATCCCTGACTTTTTAAAACTCAAAACACGGGTTGTTTCTGAGCATTACTGAACATACTAAAGACAACGACATGTAAAGGTCATATGCTAATAAAAGCAATGTGGTGCCTAATTAGGGCTCCCGCAGTCAGGTTGATGGAAAGTGGACAGC